ATGTTGGTAACAACCTGTATTTTTGCTGGCTGAACCCTCATAACGGACAAAAGCCTCATTCTGTGCTCGATGTTTGTTCACACTGAGGATGCCCTTTAAGGGAAAGGAGTGGGTTGGAATGTAGTTTCCATAAGCCACTACCAAGAAAGAGATCTGGTTTAAATAACAGGAGTGAAAGGCACTTACCTGGATGTACCTGCCAGATTTTATACCAGCCTCCAGCACCTCTGCAGGCAGGTGTTCAGTGTACACTTTCTCTACTCCCTCACTCTCTCGCTCCTGCAGGGACTGAGCAATGGAGTTGTACAGATCATGGGCGGCCTGCAGGTCCGGCCAGAAACTTAACAGGTACTCCTGCAATTGAGTTCACTGGTGTTACCAATGGACAAGTATGTTGGTCTCATTTATTGCACTCATTTAGTCACATTTGTGAAATGCAAAACAGAGTAATCCCAGCTCTTGACATTATTTTTACAAGTTAAACATATGTATGGATAATGTATAATCAGCCAGTCACTATCACAAAATAAATCCTGAAAGATTGATCATACATGATCCTAAATAAATAAATGAACATGAAAAATAGATTATTGAAACCAAATATTTTTTATGTGGAAAATAATAAACCACATCGGTTCTACAATTTAGTGGTTATTAAACATATCTGACTCCAGAAAGATATTGACAATTCAACATCACAGATTTCACAGGACATAAAATAAAAGAATATACCTGAGTTGAGATGACATACACTCCACTGTTTACGGCACTGAATTCTGAAATAGCATCATTATCTTCTGTAATCATGACCACCGGCTGGAGTCCAGCTAAATGGTTATAGTACCAAACTGCTGCATTGTACACATTTCTGGAACAGAATGCACATAGTGATTTTTTTTTCTGCAGCTCAGGTCTATGAAGTGTCTATGCGCTCACTTCTCAAAAAGGTTGAATTAGCTTTACTTGCCTTTTTTTTTTTATTACACTTCTATTGTATATTGAAAGTCAAAGTGCATGACATTCTTTACACTTGAGCTTGATTCAAAAAGAATACTTTATTATACTATAGCCAGGGTTTTCAAAGTGGGGGGCGCACCTATCTCGGGGCTTGTGCTTATTTGTATTAAAAATGCTTTAAATAAATGTATTTTTTTCCTTGCATGGTTTTTGTTGTTGCACAATATACATACATTTTGAACTATGAAAATTAAAAAGCATTTTTTATACTACAAAATTAGTACAAAATGAGAGGGTGGAGAGGCGCCGTTGTGAATGTTGTGTCAAAAAGGAAGGCCCACTGTCTTTGACTTTGAAAAGGCCTGCTCTATAGTCTATTAATACCCTCAATAACCTTTTCTCAAAGAAAACAATGCCTAAAAGAAAGCGTAATACTCTATAGTCAGGACTCGCCTTGTATGCCATTTGTCCTGAGACTCGCCCTTGTCTCTGGGGCAGTAGCAGTACTGCTGAAACTCATTGGCAAACAGCACACAATCATGGCGAGGGTCCTTCAGTAAAGCACGCAGTCTGTTATATTGCCTGTACAAGACAAAACAAAATGCAACTATAAAAGCAACCTGTAAAACTAACCCTTCCAATTTTCTTGAGGGAATTTTCCAAATGTATTCACACACAATGCTAGGATTTGCAATACTTGGTTTAGTTAAGTAAATTAAAATCTGATGTCAAAAATGATATTTGAGGGGTTGACCTGCGTCCACGGGTGTGCTGAACAGTCTGGTAAGCTGTCTGGGTCAACACGATCCCCTGCAGCTCCCTGAACTCCAGTATCTCCAGGAAATCCCGAACCACTCCCACATCGGGAACCACATAGTGAGTCACATCTCCAGATAGCACCTTGCCATCTATTGAAGCACAAATGGTCAATATTATACTGCAAACCATTATCTTATTAGCTAAATTCAGAACACAATATAATAATACCTCAAACACAGAAACTTTATTTGCAGGATGAACTACCAAACTACCACGATTTACTGTCTGATGTTTGAGTGACAATAAATACTTTTGTTTGGTAGTTCACCCTGCAATTAATGTTTAGTTTTTACCCTGCAGCCCACTACGAACACCTTGGCAATTTAATTGCCATTAGCTAGTAAATTTTTTAGTTTACTCGCCAGACTGATAAATAAATAAATTAATTAATTTAAAAAAAAAAAAATATATATATATATATATATATATATATATATATTTTTTTTTTAAAGGGCACAGTTTTATAAATTTACATTTAATGATACAGATGGAAAATTTTGTAAATGCCAGGGTGGATAATAACTTCTGAGGCTAGGAATATACTAGGAAAACTGTATTTTGAGTTTTTTTAGAGCACGCAGCACAGTGTGAGCGACTGGTGGTGGTGCTTTTTTGGTCATTCAGTGTTTCTGTAAAAAAATTAAAAAGTGGGGAAAAACTAACAAAAATACTGAGCTAGAGATCTAGAGCTACTGGATTCATGAGTATTAATCAGGTTGTGTGCGTTTGCTCGAACTGATTTGCTGAAATCAAAACAGGGGCGATAATAGGTGAGCACCAGCCAATGAGACTGCCGTTTGTGCATTAGTTCCGCCCACTAGCGGAGAAAGCAGTAGATCTTAAAAGCTGAAGAATTCCAAAGGAACTCCGTTATTTTGACAGCAAAATACAACAAAGAATATCGTTTACATGTAGCGCACATAGGTAGCGCGTCAATTCTCTCTCTCCCTCTCTCGCTGCGTGTGTGTGAAACAAAGCGACGGCGAGTCGTGCACCTTCACACTAGAGTTTACGGTACGTTAAATACAGGTATGCTGCACATCCATTCAGATGAACTGAAAAACAGCACAGATCGCTTGGCGGAGAGTGAAACTCTGATGCGCTCAGTCAGAGAGTGTTCGGCGAGTGAAAATATATCTGAGCTAAACTTATACTTAGCCTCCAACTCGCACACTGGCGAGTAAAATCTGAGAATTTATTAGCAGTTGGCTAATATTAGACATCATTTAGTCGCCCAGAGTGAAGATTTAGTCGCATATGCGAGTGATTTACTCGCAATGTAGAGGGTTGCCCTGCAATAAATGTTTGCATGTTTGAAGAATTCTCTAAGTCAGTGGTGCTCAAACTTTTTACAGCGGCATACCTCCTGGGGCATTTAACATTCTTCTGCGTTCCCCCTCTCTTCCACTTAGACCAGTCACACCTTTTCTATTAAAGGACATTATTTGCCCCCTTAAACTGATTTACAGGTGCATTTTTTTTACCTTTATAGAGGCAAAGATTTTCTATCTTTATTAATTGTATGTCATGTTTTATATAATGTATGAAATATGTTTATATATATTTTGTCATATTCTTAACATTTCATTAAGTGTATTATTAATATAATAAATAAAGCAATAAATGATGACAAATCGAAGTGATACTTGTAATTTTAAAAATAAAACCGTCAATAGTTGTCGGCAAGTCGCCACCATTCATTCATTCATTCATTCATTAATTCATTCGTTCATTCATTCAGTAACGAAGCAAACTGCTGTAGTTATGAATGGGTTATTAATCACTGACTCTCCAAATCGATCAAAGCCGCAGATTCCTTCACTAATGAAACACTGTATGATGCTTGGAGACGCACACCAGATGATACGGATTTCGTTGGAACTATTATTATGTCGTTGCAAAATAACAAACATGACAATATTCTGTTTAAAATGTAGGCTACATTTAAAATGTTAAATGTTCACTTAATATGACCTTTTTTGTTGAACTGCTGTAAAAACGGTCACATTTGCCATCGTTTGGATATTCAGGGAAATTTGCATTCTTGCTCGTATTTTAAACATGAAAACAATAACTCGCACAGGGTATGTGTCTTTATCGAAGAGAGTTTAAATCGATCTCAATGTACAGAGCGTGTCAATGTTTGCTCTTCATGCTATTAAGGGAAGATCTACTTAAAGATACATTGAAAAGCAGCGCGATTTGCTAAAGCAGTAGGCCTATATTCAGCGGCCATCCTATCGCATACACGCTGCTTGTGTGGATGCAGTCAGTTTTGACCGCAAAAGATGAGGAAAGCTGATTGGATATCATGTAGTTGACCGTTTACGGCACTCTCCCATTTTCCTGTTTTTACATTAGAAGCGGCATTTTGCATGTCAGAAATACATGTTCGGTTTTAATGTTACTTTAAGTTGGGGTATTAAATGAATTTTGTTCGCGTACCCCCTCCGTCACCTCACGTACCCCAGTTTGAGAACCACTGCTCCAGTAAGTCACTGAATAAAGGGTTGAGGAGGACCACATGTAAACTTACGTTTGTTCCATTACTGAACATCTACATACATAAGTTCAACCTAAATGAGATGATCGATTCTGATATCATTCCAGAGGGCGTGTTATACCAATATAATAAATACTGTAATAAGCCAAATGGCAAAGATTTCTGAGTCGATGTTAGTTAGTTAACAATTCGTAAAGCTATAACTAGTTCCCTTTAGAATGTAAAGACAACATAATTTAAAATTGCCTGTTGTTAGCTACCTAGCGCTGTTGGTATACTGATCCATTCATTATAATAATAATTAATTATATACTGATAATAAACACGAGACGTATTTCAAGTTGTTTTTGATGCTTGGCTCATGTTCTCCCTACCGTTATGACAGTCCGCTTGACAAAGGGGGCTTCCACAAGGCACCTGTTCCCTCACATAGTGCTCCCGAACCACACGGACCTTTCTACCCTTCGAGCTGTTCAAATGTAACACTTTCTCGGTTTTAATTATGAGCGGACCTTCCATAACAAACCACTATTGGTAACATTCAAAAGCCAAGTTCCTCCATTCTTCTTTGCCATGTTTATCAAAATGTGTTTTTTATGTTTGATAGGAACCTGCGCCATCTACAGGATTGGAGGACGCAAACAAGCTCACACTGTTTCAAGTAGGCCTACTCTTAATATTATTTTGATTATACAAGAATCAGACACCGGCACAAGTGTTATTTTATCATTTTATTATTTATAATAATCTGAGAACCTACTGCCATGTTTATTCTCTATTTAGTTTAGCGCTTTTGTAAACTAAAAAATCTTCAAATATTATAGGCTCAGAAGAAAGGTATTAGGCCTGTGTCTGAAAATTCAATATGGGAAAAAGCCAATAGATGTTCTCCCAGTTCACTGCTGTGCATAGAGAAATTGTGTCATAATGCTGAAAATTTCCACCATTTTGCATATACAGGTTTTGACATGATACAATAATTATGTCAAGTAAACAACCTTCTTGAACAATAAGAAGCAGACGTACAATCCAATACTTTGCAGTTCCAATAAAAAATGCCCATTATAGAAATATTCTTCAGATTTAGGTTCCTTCAGATAGTCTGAAACATTCAAACAAAAGACACTACTTAACATTAAAAAAATGTTTTGATTGTTCAGTTATGTAAAATTGCCTTGTGATTGATTTGGCAAATCACTTTAAAAATGACAATGACTTCTTAATTACATCCTTTTGTCTTCACATGGGTGCAACATTAAATAAAATGTCTTTGGCATCACAGATTTGTTCTCATTTTGAACGTCCCTGTGGAAAGTTGGTCATCTGGATGTTGTCTCCTTGTAGTCCTGGGTTGTAGTAACCAAATCCATCAAACTTCAGGTCTAGTGGTTCACTGTTATCCAATCGGAGAACTTTGAAAAAATGATATGAATGAGTGCATCACAGTGAAAAAATGATTCTGTATTACATTCATAGAAGCCCTCACACATATTCACATGGATCTTGGTTCAAAGTGATGCGAATAATGACAGGTGAGTTTTATATTACCTGGATCAGGTGACATCTCTTCCACCAGTTTTCTGTGCGAGAAATCTCTTTTGTTCCTTCGATTCAGGAAGATAAATGCTCCCAAGGCCAGGACCCCCACTACAATCCCAATGACTAGGACGATGGTCCATGCCTGCCCATTCTTGCTTTTGGTACCATCTGAAACATCTGAAGATAAACCTGTAAAGACATATTTGATGTTTATTGTAACAACGAAGCAACCCTTGACTACATTAGCGATTAAAAAAAACACATTTTGGATCGAGTAATATAGCGGTTGCCTTTACCATGAAGTTGCTTGCTTAAAAAGGGTCATGAATAAGTTCAGACCAACACCATCAGAGGTATCACAATGATTAAAGATTATTAAAGTTACAATTATTAAAGAGCTTTTTTTAAGCCAGTCATTTTTCCTGCAATTTATTAGTATACAGTACTTCAGGCCAAAACCATAAAATCTGATTCTGAGCATATAAAAATAATTCTGTACATGCAAATATAACTCTTTTTTGTTGTTGTCCAGTTCAGAATGCAGTTTGGACACAGATTGGTTAGAGTCACATTCACTGAAAAGGTCATGGAATTTGTTCTCCAGCAATGTCAGGTGTTCTTTGTCACATGTTCTTGGTCCACATCTGACCCCGAAAGGAGCCCCTCCCAATATCTGCAGGGTGAACACCACTCTTATTGTGAGGGAAGTAAGGAGTCAGTAACTAGACACTCTGGCCCAGAGCAGAGGACAAACAAAGACTGAAATCCAATCCAACTTGGAGGAACAGCAGCAAATATGTATTTTATGACTGAATTGAGAAGCTAAGAATGAGGGTTAGCTTGAGGGATGAAATAAAAAGATTTGTGTGATCTTTATGCTATGGAACTGGAGAGTGAAATAATGCTTATTAAAGGTCAAAACACTATCAGTGACCCAGATTTGGAGTGAGTATTCTATTTCAGTAAAATATTTTTGTATATCATCATATCATTTTAACACTTACTGTTAAAAAGTTTGGCATCTGCAAGATTTTTAATGTTTTTGAAAGAAATCTCTTACACTCACCAAGACTGCAATATTTAAACAAAATATTTGTATTATTTGCAATAGCTGTTTTCTATTTTAATGTATTTGAAATGTATTCCTGCCATGGCAAAGCTGAATTTTCAGTAACATTGCTCCAGTCTTCAGTGTCACATGATCCTTTAGAAATCATTCTAATATGCTGATTTGGTGTTGAAGAAACATTTCTTATAACTATCAAAGCTGTGCTGCTTCATTCAAAAAAAAGTACTGATGTATCAAATGACAAAACTTCTCAGTCTTTTTTATAAACTGATTATTAGTGCTTGATTAATGCTGATTTGTGAGTCTCACCTCTTTCAGAATTCTCTCTGGTGTCAATAGGTTCGGTCTGGTTTAATTTTGTATCCTCTGGGGCAGGAGTCGTGGCGTCTTCAGGGAAGGCAGGTAGAATTGCTGCCGTTGTAGTTGTGTATACTGGTGGTTCAGTTGGACTCACTGTAGTTTGGTTCTGGACGCTTTCATCTTTTGTTGTGGTGGTTGGACTTTTAGTAGTGCTGTTGGTGGGTACATCATCTGAGGGCAAATATCCAGAACCCGATTCATCATGGCTGCTCTCTGCTGTGGTAGTCTCAGGTTGTGGAGTGGTATATGTGTCATTAAGAGCAGATTCATTTGTGTGTTCTGGCTCTGGTGTGGAGGTATTTGTGGCTGTGTCCTGTGTCAGTGTTTCATTGGATTCTGCTGATGTATCTGAGAGCTCAGAGCTTGAATTAAGTGCAATCATTGGAGGTGGTGTTGTAGCAACGGGACCCTCAGAACTAGCTTCCTCTGTGTCACTAACAGACTGCTCAGGGCTCTGATCCAGTTGTGTGGAATTCTGCTCTCCTTCTTGACCAAAATAAATTGAGCCAAATGTTTGTCCTTCATTTTCTGAACTGCTCTCTGGTTTGGCATCCTCATTGCTTTGTATGTTTTCCTTATTTGATTGAGTGGTTATTCCCTCACTAAATGTTTGTTCTCCATTGTTGTCTGTAGTATCACTTCTTTTCCAGTTGTCAGGTATCTGGGTGGACACTTGTTGAAACGTCTGAAGAATCAAGAGGATTGCAAGTGTGATGCCTAGTGGCAATTTCATATTTGGTCCCTCTACCTGCCAAAATAAGACATGTTACTGTGTGGAGTGAATGTGTATATCACAAAATCATGCAGAAAATATTCCACTATTTTAAATGTATAAACATAAGTTATATTGCATACGTAGACATCATGCTGGCATCAAACCAAAGATAAATGCTGTCAAAATTAATCAACATTTGGGAGAAGCAAAACCTACGACGTCTCTCTATACAAAATGAAAGTGTTCTTTCTCAGAAACCTCTGTTTAGCAGCCCTTTGTTCCACTCCCATGAGTCCTTTTCACTGAAGTGTATCTAAGCCCGCTTGATGCAAGTGTAATGTACACCATTCAACCATGTCAGTACATTGCAATAACAGAAGGTGAGCATACAATATTCTGTATTCTGTGTATGGTATACAATGTACAAACCCAAAATATATTTAGATGCACATTTTGAGGGCAATTATGACAAAACAAAGAACAAAGTGATGCTCAAAAATATTTGTATAAATATTTAAATAATATGCTATGATGAAACAGACATGGCATGATAATGTCAGTAATTGGTATCTATATTATATTTTGATGTGCTGTTGAACAGACGCACCCACACTTAACATGTGACTAACAGAGTAACTATTTCCATCGTCACTTCAGTTATTCCTGTTTGTCCAGTTCATCTGCCATCATCTATTATTGCCGGACACCAACAACAGTATAATTAAACAGTGATAATGTTACAGAAATGAAAGGGTTTGAAGGAATAAAGAGTACTTGGGCTCCACATTTGTGTCCTGTTTTTGTGTGTATTTAGTATATAGAACATTTAATCTGGCATGTCACATCTGAACCACATGCTGATTTCTAGTTGCGTAATTATTTTTATTACTTACAATTAATATAAAATGATTGTATCAATTATAATAACCCTCTGCTGTTCTTTATTTTATGGTCAGTTTATGAATTATATATTTGTCAGTTATTATTATTATTATATTTTATGTTTGCTGGCATTATTCTGAGGCAACATGTCAAGTAAATATGAAAATGTGACAATTTGGAAAAAAGTTAAAGCACATGTCTATTAAATTGGAAATGTAAAATATCACCATGTTAGACAGTTCTCATTCCCTCCTGGAGGAAAATATTCTATTAATAATCTTGAGATTATTAATAATGTGCCAGAACAGGTTTCCCAGCACTGATTATGTGGTATCTCTTATGTGGAATTGTGATACAGCAGTCATATGATGTCCATAATACAATGTACTGAGAAGAAACATATGTGGTTAAGCTACAATATAACATATAATCCAAACATTTGTTTAAGGAATACATTTTTGATTCGTTGTTTATCAGATAGAAGGTCATCAGTGGAGCCATAAAAACATACTAATATGTATAATTTATAGGTATGTGACACCATTCGTCAAACATCCCAAGGGTAATTTTTTTTTTCAGTTATTTGTAATCATGACTTCCTTCAATAGATCAAAATTTCAGTCGCCTTCATACCACAGACATCTAATACCTACTCTCCATTTCACACCAAACTAGGCCAGATGAATTTTAAAGCAGTATAACATTCCTCAATAGGCTTCTATGTATTAAAAATGAAAACTGTGTACCTACCTGAGCGCTGCCTGTTGGACTCGGGTGAGATGATCGAGGCAGGTTGAAGTGAAATGGTTTGAGAGTTCAGAGAGTGTGCATCCAGAGACAAGAGGCAAGGGGAGGGATCTGTCTCGCTTGTGGCTACCTAGGAACTGGCCTTTCCTGAATTTGCACCTGTAAACCACACCTTTCCATCAAACTTCCTAGATGCAAATAAAGCACTCATGTGCGTCAGTTGTAAATAGGACTGAAACTCAACGTCAATCTCCATTCTTACGTCAGTCATACATACCTCATCAGTGTACACAGGTTTACCCTGGAGCTAGGTTTTGAAGTCTTTGAACAACTAAAATTCCCTAAAGGGAGGAGCACCTGACACACTGGGCCTCCGAGCATTCCTCCCATGCCCTGTGTCCATGGCAACACACAGGTTGCTCAGACCTGCTTTCCTCCAGTAACAAAAGACACATGCTATTTTTACATGGCCGATGACCATATGCATCATAAGGCTGTCTTTTGTCGTAGTGGGGTCATAGTATGACATTTTAACAATGTCATACTGGGGTGGTGAAACATTTGTACTTCTTTATGAGGAATAGTTTATGTTTCTAATGGTTAATCATGGGCCTGAATTTAAAATATCTGTGAACAAACTCTGAAATATCATTTACTGGTAGAGTGGACAGATGACTTGCTCTTCCAATAATGGCCCAGCAGAGGGCAGTGTATTATAATTTCTTTCTGTTCTGTAGGGAGCGGTTACATGATTGTTCTTACTGAAAAGTAACACATATTTAATTAGCTTTTTACTTATTTTTGTAGTAAGTTAATGCTACACTTGTTAGGCCAGCAAAATGGCAGGTACAGCATATTAAAGGTACTATCAAAGGTGTTTTTTGTTTGTTTTGTTTTTTACGATTATCATACTTATTCTCAGTTCCAAAATGTTAACATACTGAGTATCAACAATAGTGATGGCCTGCTGCAAGAATGGTAATGTTATGCTTAAAATATGCCATTGTTTTCCAAAAACTGTGAAATTATAGTTACATTACAGCTGTAGAATTTTGAAGCTTGTTGAAAATTCTCTTTTTTGTAAAGAAAGAAAAGTTGTCAATTTTATTTTAGTAGGCTAAAAAAAAAAGAAAACATGTAAATAAAATATAACGTTCATTTAAAAAAATACATATATTTATAGACTATATAACAAAAGTACAAATGGTTTGTTTTGTGGCAGGACAAAAATATATATAATGTCTGGTTTGGTAAATAGAAAAAAATTAAGCTCTGACATTTGTAATGCAATTTGCTCATAAGAATTACCCACAGGCCTTGTTGAAAATAAAAAATCTGTTTTAAACTGGCTTAATCATAGTTTAAACTTGTCTCTAAGCCAGGCCTGCAGAAATGGCCATAAGCCCTTAAATCACACACATTACCACAACCAGCTAGCTAAAACCAGCCTTTTTTTTTTGAGGTGTTGAATAATTAAAAGCATTTTTGTCCACCTTTAAATGATTATTAGTCAGTAACTATCCCTTTGTAAGAAACTACAGACTGTCCTGACCCAGATTCCACTCCACAATATATGTTTGATCTAGCTCATTTCCCAAAATGGCTTATTTATTATAGAGAAGTCAGCAGTTAAATTGTTCTATTTGCACTATTTGTGATGATCACTTCCTGAGCAAATGATTTGATTGTAGAATGGGTGTGGGTGAACCAACTCAGACAATGGGGTGTCTCAACTTCATTAACATTGTAGCGCTGCAGAGACGAGATGAGGACCTATGTGCAGGAGATTATTAAAGCCAGGAGACAGCAAGTAATCCAACATGGGCACAGCAAGGACCTCAGGCAAGGGCAGAGCACAACCATCACAGACATTCAACAACTGACAAAACACAAGGACTATTTATACAGAGAGCTGAAGCAATTAACTAATCAGTAACCAGGGCAACTAACAAGGAAATGGGTGTGGTTCAATGAGTGTCCATGACAACAAACAAGGGAGCAGAGCAGCAGGGGAACAGGAGGGGAACAAGGCAACAATAGGGACATAAAACTACAAACTGAAAGTCCTTGGACACAGACATGGGAAACACAGACAGGGATCATGACAAACATACAGACCACAGCTGTTATGATAGGAGCAACATCATTTAGACCATTGGTTCCCAACCCTGGTCCTGGAGGCACCCCAACACTGTTCATTTTGCATGTCTCTTTTCTCTGACACACCAATTTCAGGTCTTGTTTCAGTGTGTTTGATTAAGGAGACATGCAAAACGTGCAGTGTTGGGGTGCCTCCAGGACCAGGGTTGGGAACCACTGATTTAGACAAGGCAAGGCAATTTTATTTATATAGCACATTTCATACACAATGGCAATTCAAAGTGCTTTAAATAAAAGTAAGTAAAATAATCATTTAAAAAAATTATCACAACAATAAAAACAAGGAATTTAAAAACCTACTGTTAGTGATGTGCTCTTAATACAAAGAAACATTCTCAAGCTTTGTTCAACCTCTTCCTCACTAAGTGGAAAATCCTTCCAGAATACCTAACTATTCCACTACTTCACCCCCTAAATTGGCCATCATGAAACATTCTCAAGCTTTGTTCAACCTCTTCCTCACTAAGTGGAAGAATACCTAACTATTCCACTACTTCACCCCCTAAATTGGCCATCATAAACCAAACACAAACCAAATAGAACTCAGAGGTCCTACTTTCAACTGATTAACCAACAAACTTGTCTTTCTTTGCTCACATTCTCTTTACCTTCACATCACTTACTTTAACCTTCTGTTTAAACTTTTTAAATGATTAAAAAATGTATTTGAAATTAATTAAAACAGTTAAGAATAGAAATTGATTATACATAGAATACAGTGCAATCAGTTCGGACATCGCACAGTGCTCATTCAATGAATGCACAGCTAAACAGATACACCAAGATTCTTGACTTGATTTTTAGTTGTTTTGACCCCTAGAGTCAAGATATGCATTCACCTTGAGAACTTCATCTTTGTTTCCAAATGCAATGACTTCAGTTTTCTCCTTGTTTAAATTAAGAAAGTTCTGGCACATCCAACTGTTAATTTCATCAATGCATTGGCAGAGGGAGTCAATGGGGCTGTATAGTCATTTGGTGATAAGGCTAGGTAAATCTGGGTATCATCAGCATAGCTGTGATAGGCAATTTGGTTCTTTCTCATTATTTGACTTAGTGGGAGCATATACAGGCTAAACAAGAGCGGTGCAAGAATTGAGCCTTGTGGGACTCCGCATTGTCATGGACGTCCACTTAGACTTGTGCTCTCCTATACTCACATAATAACCTCTCCCTTCTAAGTATGACCTGAACCATTTGATTACCATCCCAGAAAGCCCAACCCAGTTTTCCAGTCTCTAGAAGTATGTTATGATCGACAGTGTCAAATGCAGCACTGAGATCTAGTAGTACCAGCACTGATATTTTGCCAGAATCAGAATTTAAGCGAATATCATTTATTATCTTAATAAGTGCTGTCTCTGTGCTGTGATATGGTCAGAAACCAGATTGAAAATTATTCAGGTATTGATATTTTGCTAGAATCAGAATTTAAGCGAATATCATTTATTATCTTAATAAGTGCTGTCTCTGTGCTGTGATATGGTCAGAAACCAGATTGAAAATTATTCAGGTATCCATTTGAGTTTAAGTAGTTGTTCAGCTGATTAAAAACTACCTTTTCAATAATCTTGCCTATAAAAGGAAGATTTGATATTGGTCTATAGTTGCTCAATATGGTGTTATCAAGATTGCTCTTTTTCAGAAGGGTCTTAATAACTCCAGTTTAGTTGTAAACTGTAACTGTATGAAAGGTTTAAGTTTAGGATGTTCAGGGTTCATTCTGACTCCATTGAATCCAAGGTACTACATGTATGTTTTCACTGCTGTGCTGCAATAAACATCTTCGTCAAGACCTTCAATGTCCAGCCATAGTCACCAATCATGTCCATTGTACTGCAGCTTAATATTTCAAACTACAGCATGATTACAAGAGTTTTGTTGCTTTTATACAACTGTTCAATGAAAAAGGTGGTAATATTGAGTAACTTACCTTTTAAACACATTTTGTTTATTTTTGCTCCAACAATGAAAACAGTTCCAGTCCCGATAAAGCCACATCTCCAAGCAACACACAGTTTCCTTCCTAAATACATCCATGTGAAACAAATTGTGAACAAATCTGTTTACTGAATTATTTAATCACTCACTCATGTCACTAAATCCTTTCTGAATGAACCCTTGTTGCGGTGAATTCCCTCACCAACACAGTCACTTTTCGCCACCTACTGGCATAACGATGTGGTGTAAGTGTTAAATGATTACTTTTGTGGTTGTCATTTCATTTTTGAAAAACTTTATGACAGAAAAAAAAATTATGTCCGTTTTTTTAGATGAATCTCTTTAAGATGTAAATGTAGGCTATAGCATAAATGTATTTTGTGGTATGCTCAAACCATGAGCATGTCGCAAAATTAAAAAGATGGGCAATTCTTCATCTTAATGAAGTTATGTGAACCTGTTTTTGCACCTTATGTGTGAATCCATGAAAAAAGTTTGAAAAGCTACAAAATGGCTACAATATTTATAGTGTTATAGAGACATTTTCAATAGCCTCAGTTAACCTGCAAAGTCTCAAATGGAACAAAAGACACTTTCTGCTGCCCAACATATGATTAAAGGTGAACAGACATACAATTATATATAAAGGTGTGTTAGAGCTGGAATCTTCCTGTCCAACCAGCAGAACCCAAACTCCATGACCACAGACTTTTCCTTTTCTCCTCCCCTCTGTCTTCTACAGGTTTTTTCACCCCACTTTTTTCAACCTTTTCAGCAGCTGCTTTTCCGTTTATCACACTATTACATAAACCCTGGAAAATGTGGGAGTGGAGCTTAACTTACCAGTCAAAGACCATCTTAGATGCATGATTATAATGATTAATATCCTCAGTAATAGTATATGATTCGCAGTGAGAGGTTTTCTCTTCCCATAGACATTTTGTTCACCAAAGAACATCACAGATGTTTAGAGATCAGATCACTTTTGTGACATTAATGCTTCCACATTTGGTCTAATGAACAATTGAAGGCTATTTTCACAGTCAAACTGAACAGATAAAGTACTGACCTACATAACATAACCACCAGGTACAAACAATTCAACAACAACTTTTGATTTGCAGTTCTGGCAATGATATTGACCTTAGATATGTTGAACACAAGGAGATGGTTTTAGAAAAGACTTTGCTAGAAGAAAACAAATTGTGCAAACATTTAAGGGCATCTGGTGAGTGACTCAGAATAAGATCAGGTCTTAGAGCTACTCTTTTCCTAAGAACTGCTCACCTCCTAGG